TTATAAATAAGACATAATTTTTCATAATTCAGAATCAGATGCATACTAATTTTTAAAATTTTACCTTCGACGTTTTTGCACTTGATGAAACAGGAAAACATAGATCGGATGTGCAGCGAATGTTAGGGTTTAAAGCCTCCAATCCAAATATCTGGTTTTTACTAGAATAAAACAAAGTAATATTTAAATAAATTTCACTACACTAAAACATTACAGGTATAAGCTGTGACTGTTTGACCGGCTGTGTGAATTATGCAATAAATTATTTACATATGTTTACATGCATAAAGATGTTGAGTAACAGAATTATTATGTTGAACTCACTCCAGCATCCAGAATTTTTAAATGAATTCAAATAATTTTATATAAATGTCAGTAAGAAAATAATTTCAAGCTGTATTATCTAAAATTAAAAACTAAGTTTACAAGAGTAAGAGTTACTTTTGTAGAAGCACTGGTCATCGCCAATTTTAAGATTTCTTACCTACAGTATTTGTCTGTTGCACAGATAGTTGGGAAGAACATTTGAGGCAGTGTTGCTAAAAATAATAAATTACTATTAAAATCTTCATCTATAAATTTCTTTTAAAAGAAATGTAAAAAAAGCTGAGTTAGAAGAACTGCAAAAGGTAAGATAGACTGGTATGATATTAATGAATTATCAAAATTGGTTAATTTAAAATGTTGAGGTAGAACAGGAATTAGGCTGATCAATGAGGTTTAATCAGAATAGAACTGCAGAAGGTAGGATATTGTATGGGATTTCTTGGGTACACAACAACGGAAAAAAGACTGTTGAATCGGTATAGAACTGCAGAAGAAAAGATGTTGTGTGGGGTTTCTGGGTACACAACTATGGAGTAAAGACTAACTTATCGGGTTGAAACAGTACACAACTGCAGAAGGTTGAATGTTGTATGAGGGATTTCTTGGGTACACAACAACGGAAAAAAGACTGTTGGATCGGTATAGAACTGCAGAAGGTAAGATGTTGTGTGTGGTTTCTGGGTACACAACTACGGAGTAAAGACTGACTTATCGGGTTGAAACAGTACACAACTGCAGAAGGTAGGATTTTGTATGGGATTTCTTGGGTACACAACAACGGAAAAAAGACTGTTGAATCGGTATAGAACTGCAGAAGGTAAGATGTTGTGTGTGGTTTCTGACGTACACAACTACGGAATATAGGCTGGCTGACTGGGTTGAAACAGTACACAAGTGCAGAAGATTGAATGTTGTATGAGGTTTGTGTGGTACACAACCACAAAAAGCAACTTGACTAAACGAGTTGAATCATTATAATGGTAGAAAGTTTTATCAGGAGAAAAAGACTGCTTATGAGTGTTGAGGGTGTGAAAAAGGTTGATTAAAGTACTAGGTTGAGGAGGTATATTTCTCATGTATCGTGTTCCGTACTCAACCGTTATTATATAAGTGATCTGTCAGAAGTCGGAAATAAAATGTTATTATGATACTGATGTTTTAGTAAGTTATACTAAACTTTTGTTTTAATGCATATATATCAGTAAGAAGTACTAAACTTTTATTAAGATACTGATGTGTCATTAAGTTGGACTAAAGTATTTTTACGGTAGTTACGTGTCAGTAAGCTATACTAAACTGTTATTTTCATACTGAGGTGTCAGTAAGCTGTATTAAGCTAGTATTTTATGGTAGTTACGTGTCAGTAAGCTATACTAAACTGTTATTTTCATACTGAGGTGTCAGTAAGCTGTATTAAGCTAGTATTTTATGGAAGTTACGTGTCAATACTGATATGTAAGTTGTACTACTAAACTACTATTTTCACACTGCCAGAAGCTGTACTAAACTTACGGTGATCCATGAGAATACCAGCACGGATGGAGAAATTTCCTACATCTACAACTACCACATCCTGAAAAACACAAATAACCCAGGTTTACATATGAAACACTTTGCCATATTCAATTGTGTAATTAATTATTTTTTAATATCAAAATCAATATTTGAGATAAGATGAGAGTAGAATAACTTATCAGTTTTAGTTCCCCTTTCTTGGAATCGGATCTAGTAAATTACATTCATAAAACATACATTCTTGCTACGGTATATAAGGCTGAACAGTTTGGTTTGTTATGAATTTCGCGCAAAGCTACACGAGGGCTATCTGCGCTAGCCGTCCCTAATTTAGTAGTGAAAGACTAGAGGGAAGGCAGCTAGTCATCACCACCCACCTCCAACTCTTGGGCTACTATTTTACCAACGAATAGTGGGATTGACTGTCACATTATAACGCCCCCATGGCCGAAAGGGTGAGCATGTTTGGTGTGACGTGGATTGTGAGTCGAGCGCCCTAACCACCTGGCTATGCCGGGCCAGGCTAAGTGGACTCTTCTTTTTCCACACCATCTTATCTCATAGTATGTTAAGAATATTTTAACCGTGTATATCAAAATCCAACTCTTTAAAATGAAGTTTTTACTTTATTTAATTGACAAACAGTAATCACAACATACTTATACTCATTTCTATATGATTATATGTGGCTCTTGTTATGTAAATAGAGAAAATTCTTTAGAGAATAAAAATAAATTTTGAAGTACGCAGAACACATGGTTTGATAAAAACAATGAAGTGAGCTTTACCTTATGACATTTTAGTGGATAACGAACAGGCTGAACGTAAACCGTACTAAAGTTTTCATGGCACTGAGTCTGAAGTGATTGGAACCAGTCATTGGTCTCCTTCTCATCTTGACATTTCAGAACTACATAGTGTCCTCTCTGTTTAGAAAATACAAGAAATCTAGAGTGTCAAACAGCCTAAACAAGCTGTTCTGTTTCTCCAAAACTGATAATTGAAGACTTCAAGAAACCATTCATAATCTCTGACTGCGAAATGTTGATATAAAAACTTTAGAAACTATTTAGTCATGGTCGATTTTTTCATTTGGTATTTTTACTTGACATTACTTAAGAAAATTAATTGTTTAGTTAACGTTTGATAATGTGTATTTTTTATCATGTGAATATAACATGTCTGAAATTGAAGTACCTGAAAAATAATTGACACTGAGCTGAATTAAAAGATACAACTAACTAAACTATTGGGCCTTTGAAGTCTACAAGTTACGTTTTAGCTAAACTGATATTGCCTGGACGATGATAAATGGTCAGATTTTACTAATAGTTCAGCTTAAGGTAGACCAAGTTTCTACTCAATAGTAGCTCACCTTTTATCACACCTACCTTGTCATCAACACCTATTATGTTACTCTCCAAAATCTCTACAGTACCACCCATAAGTTGTAGCTCCAGGCTTGGTTTTTCTGACTTAATGCTCTGAAAAAGAAAACTGAGCTATTACTCTTTGAATTATTCTACTACTACTGCAAAGCACTAAGAAATATTTATTTGTTTGTTTGTTAAGCGCAAAGCTGCACAAAGGGTTATCTGTGATCTGCGCACCACGAGCATCGAAACTCGAATTTTTAGTGTTATAAGCCCACAGATTTATTGCCACTGAAGAGGTATCCGAAAGGAGACAAAGAGTCGTTATTAATGAAAAATAATCTTGGTGGACTAAAGATCACAAATGGTGTACCTCAATATCATATATCTTAGGACTGGATCCCATTCTTTTTATTACTTATATGATTAAATTGAATGAGAAATTAAAAACAGAACAATCCAGTTTGTTGGTGATGTTAAAATATGTGGTGCTGCAAGCAGTATTGTAAGAAAGTTGCCACTTGGCAGAAGGTTTTAGAGAATTTAGCGGACTCGACTACCAAATCCGTGTTGAAACAAGTGAAGACAATACCAGTAAATGGTTGGTTGGTTTGTTAAGCACAAAGCTACACTGTGAGCTATCTGTGCTCTACCTATCATGAGTATCGAAGCCCGATTTTTAACGTCGTAAATTTGCAGATTTACCACTGAGCTAGTGAGGGGCAGGTAATATCATTTAGTTAATTAATGTTTAATAATGTTAGCTATTATCACATTAATGGAGAATTTCTGAAGAGAGTAGATGAGGTAAAGGACTTGGGAACACAACTGATAGTTCTCTTTATATAAACAATTGCTATTACCTGTACCTGTATAAAGCAATAATCACTAATTTTGATCCTTGCAAATTGCGTTTATGGACATGAAATACACATTGTGGTACGTACGTGTGTTATCGATTATATCAAAGAATAAATACCACATACGTGAAGAACAAGACCAAAATTCAAAATATGGAGATAGACCTACTAATCTCGAGTTCTTTGACCAGTCTGACCTAGTTTCATAACCATTTGAAATCTAAATTAAAAACTTTTATTTATTGACATATTTTCCTGTGGGTACACTCCGTAGCGAAACGCCGTAACATCTCTTGTAAACTTGTTTATCAATATGAGCACAAAAGTTTCGATTTATTATGAACTTAACATTTATAAATATTGAAAACAATATCTCCATCTCTTGTATCTTTGACCAAGCTTGCTCCGGAAGTACAAGCTTCATCCGTATATCACGTGATTCTCTACGAGAGTATTAGCCGATTCCACTCCTAATTATATACTACAAGCAAAAGTACCCGTCCCCAGTGACAGGAAAAGTTTAAGTTAATCTATCAATTTAAATTATTTCATGGACTTTAAAAATGTTAATTGTGTTGCATACGGTAAATTTACATCTTTATTATTTAAGTTACGTCACATTTAGAAATGTTAATGATTGTGTAATTAATTTCTAACAGTTTGGTGTAGAATATTCTGCTTGTGAAATAAAATTTGGAACAACATTATACATGACTGTTCTCTCGTCATTTCAAAAGTGAATGTTGAGCTTTGCCTGCGTGCGCAGCTTTTCAAGCACAGAGCGGGAAGCGGTCGCCGTAAACGGGAGAGAGACGAACGCTCGAACAAACACCACGGTTCACAATATATATAAGATGAGTGATAAGAAGCAGAATGAGTTATGTGTATTTTAGGTATAGAAGCTATCTTATGTTTTTTATACTTTATATCACTTAGTGTTCTGACTCTTAAAGGATCAAAAACTACAATCCCGTAAGTATGCGCCCCCCAATGGCATAGCGGTATGTTTTAAGATTTCTCGTGGGGGAGAGGACAGAGCACGGATTGCCCATTGTGTAGCTTTGTGCTTAATTCCAAACCAATAACCATAGGTACGCATACTTTTCCAATGTGAGGGTTTATTGCTTGTTTCGTACTTCAATATTTCAAACCATATATATATATACAATATCATGTTTCTCGATATGTATATACTTGCACTGACTTCTCAACAATTACTTAAGCATAAAACATGCAGAAGTTACATACACGAAAATATCCTAATTAAACTGTTATTTAGTTCTTGAAAACACTGAACATTAAAACTATTACAAAGCATTTACTCTTTTCGTGTATAGCTTATAAGTTATATTTATGTTAAAAGTTTGTTTAAAGCCTCAAAATAATTTTTTTGTTTCGTTACGTACATCATATGAGTAGAGAAAACCATCCCTTGCACAGAAATACTTCCGTTTCCATGGATTCCAATATGTTGCATTTTTTCCTCCTGAGGGGAGATTTTCCAGATAACCTTCGATATTCAGTAATGTTGTGCTTTCTTGGTTATCCTGCAGTTAGAAACGGATATATATTTCATTTTTATAATGTGTTTGCGGAAACTGTAAAAATAAAAAAAAATCGTAGAATTTGTCTTTACGTAAAGTAACAGATGTAGAATACAAATATCTTAAAATCAATGACGTATCTGTAAATGCATCAAAAACAGTCTCTAGAAGAGCATCAGTTTCTATTAAAGTAATAAGTTTAAGTTTTAAACATAAATTATTAGAGACATAATGAACGTACCCCCCTAAATGGCCACCACTTCTGAGCATTTATATTAAAACCCGTTAAACAGGTATATTTCATTTTAAGGAAAGGGATAAGATTTAGTTCTGAGACATACAACTACATTGTACATCTCTCTATAGATAAAATATACGACAAAACACAACATGAAACACAACTGTACACGGATGAACTTGCTATTACATGAAAGATAAGGGGAATAAATCTTCTAACATATCATACAAGTTCTGAGACATACAACTACATTGTACATCTCTCTATAGATAAAATATACGACAAAACACAACATGAAACACAACTGTACACGGATGAACTTGCTATTACATGAAAGATAAGGGGAATAAATCTTCTAACATATCATACATGAAATGAAAATGTTGTCACAATAGGTTTTACTTACCTCTGGAGGAAATTCTACTTTGTAAAGCTCCATTAGAAGATCTGCCTGTAAAATAGCACAGTGTTTATTAATGTTTCTTATAGTATATCGTAGATGCCCAAGTTAGTATAAACAAGTACTACTCAGTTTACGGTAAAATATCACTTAAATTTCGTCCAATTCACGAAGCCACGCAGTTCACTAAACTGGAGGGAAACCGAAATTGTTATAAACTTGGATGCCAACCCATCCACTTTATAATCCTCAAAGTCAACCCACTCATTTCATAAGCTAGATGCCATTCCACCCTGTTTATAAACCTATAGACCAATCATCCAATATGTAAACATTGAAGCCAACACACCAAGTTTAAAAAGCTAGAGGTCAACCCACCTATTTCATGAATCTAGAGGTCAACTCACCCATTTTATAAACCTTGAAGTCAATTCACTCAGTTCATAAACCTCGAGGCCGATCCACTTAGTTTATTAAGCTCTAGGTCAACCTAAACTAATCCACTCATTTTTATAAACCTTGAAGTCAACTCAACTGATTCATAAGCCTTGATATCAGCAGCCATAGTCATAAGCCTAGAGGTAAACTCAACAAGTTAAAGAATCGTAAGTAAAACGAAAATAAATTCAGAAAGAACTATGTTTTAAAAATTCACACAAGTTTTTATCGGTTGTACATAGCCTCAGTTTTTGTATACCACCTGATGATGCCAGGTAAACCTGGTGAAACGTTGTGAATAAAATAAACCAAGTTTTTTATGTAAAAAAAAAACTTATGCGAAAAGTAAATTCATTTATTTGTTTTTAAGTGTTAATATAGGAGTAGAAACAACCATATTTATGTGAAATATTAACATATTAACATTCATAAATATATTGTTTTGAAGTTTGTAATAATTAAAGTATAAATTCCGCTATAATTACAAACTAAACTTAAAGAATTGATAACATTAAGTTTTTCACATATAACCAAACTAAACTAAACTTAAAGAATTTATAACATTAAGTTTTTCACATATAACCAAACAAGTATTATAAATGCCCAACTGTCTACTTACTGGATCCCAGTTGGTAGTAAAATTTCTAGAATACCTTGTGTCTTCATCAACTTCTGGCACAAGGTAAGTAATTCCAGAAGATAGTACAGTAGACTCTTTTGAATCTAGTATGACGTTTTTGTTACCATCTCCTGTCTCTACTTGTTTCAGTCCAGCTTCAACAACCTCTTTATTAAGAAAGAAATACCCAGTTGTTTCATCTTTCTCCTGGGAGACAGGTATTTCTAAATGTTCATGAAATTTATTTTCCACACTGTCCATTCTAGAAGATGTGCTTTCGACAATGCTGTCGTTATCGTGAAACTCTGAAAAGTGAGGTTCAGCTATATTAAGTCTGTACACAAGATTTTCAGTGATAGATAAAGATGCAGTGTTGGAGTCTGGTAGCAACGACATTTGAACAGTGTCTGTATCCATAGTGTTGGAGTCTAGTAGCGAGGAGCCTTTAGCACTGCCCGTATCCACAGTGCTGGAATCTAGTAACGAGGACCCTTGAACACTGACTGTCTGTACAGTGTTGGAGCTTAGTAGCAAGGACCCTTGAGTAATGTCTGTATCTGCAGTGTTTGAATCTGGTAGCAAGGAGCAAGAAGCACTTTGTATATTCACAGTGTTGGATTCTGATGGAAAGGAGCCTTTAGTACTGTCTGTATCCACAGTGTTGGATTCTGGTAGCAGGGACGTTTGAGTATTGTCTATAGCCACAGTGTTGGATTCTGGTAACAAGGAGCCTTTAGTACTGTCTGTATCCACAGTGTTGGATTCTGGTAGCAAGGACGTTTGAGTAATGTCTATATTCACAGTGTTGGATTCTGGTAACAAGGACCCTTGAGTACTGTCTATATCCACAGTGCTGGATTCTGGTAGCAAGGACCCTTGATTACTGTTTGTATCCACAGTGTTGGAGATTGGTAGCAAGGACCTTTGAACACTTTCTGTATCCATAATGTTTCCAGTTTCCTTGTCAGAACTCACTGCACCTTCATCTGCTACACCACTGTGATAACCATTAGCTATTCCAGATTCAGTTCCTTCATAACTGTTCCCTTGAATATTGGCTTGGTCAAAATTACGCCCTGTAGAAAATGATACACTATAATGAGCAAACATCTCTGATAATTCTACAGTTTAACTACCAAACAAGTTTTGTTTTTTATCATCAGAAAGTTTTGATATTCCAACATGTTAAACATGATGATAAGTTTATAACAATCAGCTTTTTAAATAAAATAATGCTAATAAAAAAAGCTCTTTACCACAAACACTCACTTGTTGCATAAAGATAGAAGTTCCTAACCACTGTGATATTCCAAGGTTCACGATAATCCAAGCAAACATGTACCTGATTACCGCAACTACAAGACCCTATTAGACCTAATATGTGAAAGACGAGCGCATGTTTCATTGCAGGTGGGATGAAAGAGACAAGATAAATGTGAGGATTAACAAAAAATATATATATATATATATTTACAAAATGAAAAGAAAGGGAGCACAGAAACAATGTTTGACTTCACTAATGAGAAGGGCTCTTGTGTTGCTGAATAAAGGTTAAAGAACAAAATAAACGAAATGAGCTTGAGAAAAAAGAAAATGTATCAAGATAAAACAAATTATAAGGAATAAGATAAATTACATTTAATAAGCGGCAATAGAGATACTCTTTGCATTGATGTAATCTGGAGAGTTGGAGTAAGTAAAATAAGTAGTTGGACACACGATTAGCAGGTCTAATGAGTGAGTGAGAAGGTTTACCAGACTTTACAAGCACATTTTAACCATTCCAGATAGCAACGAATCTATCTGGAAATGAAAAACTCTTTCATGACTCGCACTCTCTGTGTAACTGAATAATTTTATATCACAATATACTCTAACTCTGTTAATATAACTCGGCAGTTTCTGTACATCTAAAATGTTTAGATTAGATCAGATTCCTAAGGCACCCACGATCGAAAGTGGTAGAAATTGTTGATTTTAGATGCTTACCAAAAATATTACCATTTATTAAAAGGTTTAATAAAAATTGTCGAAACTTGAAAAAAATACACTTATTATCTTCAGCAACCTTTAAACTTCACCATGTGAAACAAACTTGACAAATATTAATTCCTATAGGTTTCACATGGTGAAGTTTAAAGGTTGTTGATTTCTATAGGAATGAATATTTGTCAAGTTTAATATCAGTAACTTTTAAACTTACCATGTGAAACAAACTTGACAAATATTCATTCCTATAGAAATCAACAACCTTTAAACTTCACCATGTGAAACAAACTTGACAAATATCCATTCCTATAGAAATCAACAACCTTTAAACTTCACCATGTGAAACAAACTTGACAAATATCCATACCTATAGAAATCAACAACCTTTAAACTTCACCATGTGAAACAAACTTGACAAATATTCATTCCTATAGAAATCAACAACCTTTAAACTTCACCATGTGAAACAAACTTGACAATAATTCATTCCTATAGAAATCAACAACCTTTAAACTTCACCATGTGAAAC